GAAGGGATTATAGTTTCACGGTAAACGAACGAATTTGGTTTTGTCATACTACGTGACATTTCCCGTCACATGTATTACCCTGACACATTGCTAGATGTCAATCAGGGACGGCGAATGTGAATTGACGATAAATTAAAAGGGTGTTTTAATTTATCAATTTTGATTAGATCAAAATAATATTTCACGTCGTTAGGCATCGTGGTCGGGAACCTAATGGGTCACACACAAAAGAGAATTGGAAGATTGCAAATTGCCAATTGGTTAATTTAACAATCGTTGAATAAATTAATTAATTGGATTTGTTATTTATATTTTCGAATTAATTAATTGGATTAATTAATTCACGGACCGGGTTTAATTAATTGGATTAATTAATTATTGGACCGGACCGGGCCGAGCCTGTTTGGGTTTATATAAATACATAACTAGGGTTTGAGGTCCATTAATGTTTTCATTATTCTTGCTGGCACAAGAAAAAACCCTAGAGGCTGCAATCATATTCTCTGTGTGGATCACCGTTGGAGGCTGGACAATTGGACAGCTTTGGTGGCGAATCAAAGTTGTGGAACGAAAAGAAAAGCAAAAGGATTGTAGATCTGGAAAAGGTACAATCTTATCACAATTCCTAACCAAACACAATGAGATCTATTGGATGGGAATCGAAAATTATTTTAAATTTCGCTATGCATGTATAAGTAGATTCCCAACCTTATCCACCAATAAAATATGCAAAATCTGTAAATTATTGATAATTATGCACTGGGCAAATGAGTAGAATTTACGATAACTGGGAGAGGCTTGTTGGAGCCACGTTAGATCGAGAGGAGCTTCGGGAACTTGCTCGTGCCCCCAGCCTCAGCTCTATTTCTTCGGATTTCAGTTCCAGGTTCAGTTCCTCCGTTCACGATCGTATTCCAGTAAACCTGAAGGTGCGTCTCTTATGCTTTTGGTGAGTTAAGAGGCAGGGAAATATTAATTATTAGGCTTAGGATGGAAACTAATTAGCTTACTTAAGAATCCCGAATTATCTGTTAAGGTTCTTTAGAGGGATTAAATTGTATTGTTATTATTTTTTTGACTTTGTCTTGTTTGATTACTAGTAAGGTGAGTCTTCAAGTATATTTCAGTAGATTACCTTTGCATAATTTCTGAAATTTTCAGTGTGTTATAAAGTTCTGTTCCTTATGTTTCATTCGCACAGAATGATTTCACTTCCTCAATGCCTCAATGGCATGTCTCGTAAAATAAGAAAATTAGTATAAATAACACGAACATGAAGTTCTTTAAAAATAGCTGATGCCTTTATAATAGAAATATTAAAGAACATGTAAAAATTAGTTTCGCATGTATGTGGATTTTGATGATGGTTAAATCGTGATACATCTATGTTCTTGTTTTTTTCTTTCCTTTTTTTCCCTGTACTTTATACTACCATATTGGCCACTTCAAATTTTGTGTGTTTTGAGCATTGGAGTCTTTCAGCTTATTGTCTTTGTTTGAGTGATGATTACATAAAATCTTTTACTAGTGACAGAGTAGTGTGATTGATTTTGCACTTCCAAAATGTACATTTAGAGAAGTATTTACATAAATTCATGTTTATGTTTTCTGTCATTTGAAATATGCCATAATTCATGCAACAAACTTGTATCAATATTTGGCTCTCTGCCCTTGTTCCTGTAATATGGCATCTAGAGTTCTCAGCAAATCCTACAATTCTTCAGCTCCCTCCAGCCCAAGTACTCTGTTTTATGATGGAGACAGTAGTGGTGAGAACCTTCGTAAGCCAAGATCTGAAGATGGGGAGCCTAATGTTAAGCGATTCCATTCAAAGAATTGAAGAATGCTACCAGAAACTTTAGACATGACAGCATTTTAGGGGAAGGGGGATTTGGTCCTGTTTTTAAGGGATGAATCAACGAGCACACGCTTACTGCTGCAAAGCCGGGATCTGGAATGACCGTTGCTATCAAGAAGTGGAATCCCAATAGTTGGCAACTCTGATGCTCGGACTCTTCGAAATAGTTGGAGTACCCGTGTCGAACACGACACGACATGGGTATGGATATGAGATATGTGTCGGATCCTCCAAATTTTAATCGGACACTTCGTTTTTGGTCTTCTTCTTTCTTTTCTTTTTTTTTTCCTTTCCTTTTCTTCTTTCCCATTTCTAATTAGTTCTCCACTAAGTCCAAATTATAATCAAGTCCCTTATTTGCTATTTTATATAACATTTAATAATGTCTATAATTGAAAACTAAACCCCATAATCTATTTTATTCGTCTCAACTCCTTACTCAATATCCATTTCCTTCTTTGTGAATAATAGATTTTGATTTATTCAAAATGACTTCTTGATTTAGTAAAAAAAAATTGAACCTTGAAAGACGTATCCACGTACCTGTGTCAAATTGGACTCTTTTTAACCATGTCCCCGTTCTTATATTTTAGAAAATAGAAGATCCGACACCTAGATATGTACCCATATCGGATACCTGTACCCGAGTCCGAGCATCATAGGTTGGCAAGGGTACACGGAATGGTTGGTAGGTTCTTTTTATGCAGTCTTTGTGAGTCTTATGACATAGTTATACAAAACTTACGGTAAGCCCACAATATTTTGCGGACGGAGGTGAATTATCTGCGCCGGTTTCATCATCCAAACGTGATTAAACTTATTGCTTACTGCACCGATGGTGACAACCTGCTTTTGGTATATGAGTTCATGCCAAAAGGAAGCCTTGACAATCACTTGTTCAGAAGTAGGTTGCACCAAAATAACTTCTTATATGATGTCTTGGTTGCTTAACATTTCAGTCTGTTTATGAACAACCCTTCAATATTTTTCTCCATTGTCATATTTGTTATTTAATAATCCATGACCATGAGGCATTCCTTAATGTAACGGCTGTATGTCATTTTTGTACTTGTTTCATACGTGATTATTTGTAGGATATCCATGACTAACTCTTGGATATAATTTAAAATGTTATATGTTGTATTTGTGCCATGAGGATCTCAATCATTTCCATATTTTTAGTAGTTTTCCTTTTGTAGACCCGTATAGAAAGCCATTACCTAATATAGTTATGGAATGCTTGGCGGATAGTTTTTGGTCGTGGCTTCTGAAAAGAACTCTGTGAATCACTACTTTAAATGTCTGGGGACTTTGGATTTTTCACTCCCTTCACTGCAAGTTGTTCTGGAACCTAAGTGGCTCTTGCATTTCAAGCTGCTTCCCGTAAAAATTAACTCCACACTGTTTAGTAGGACCGAAAACAGGGCCCAGAGCTATCCAAACCATTTATTTTTTTTATACATATAAAGAAAATGATGTATAATTGAATACACGGGGTTATATCATTTTTTTACTAATTCTCCAGAAATTTTGAAGCAACATTAGAACATAGAAATAAAAACAATGGGTGACATTTGGTATTGATTTTCTTTCACGGGTGGGCATCAGTGTCTTTCTTGGTCTACTAGAATCAAGGTAGCAGTTGATACTGCTGGAGGCCTTTCTTTCTTGCATGATGCTAAAAACAAAGTCATACATCGACATATTAAGTCTTCTAACATTCTTTTGGATAAGGTCTGTTCCTTGGATATACTTTGTTGTCTTCTTGTATTGGTTTTCACCTAAGGTTGTTGTTTGCATAGAAAGTAATAGCCTTGTTACATTATGGGCAGGATTTTAATGCCAAGTTGTCCGATTTTGATCTTGCTAAAGAGATGCTACCTGATCATATGACTCATATATCCACTTGAGTTATGGGTACATATGGCTACGCTGCACCTGAATACATAGCCACAGGTTTGGCACGACAAAATAATTCTCCACTCCTTTTGCACTTTAAAATCATATTTATCATTAATTCAGCCATATTAAACTCGTTGCTGATGTACAGGTCATTTGACGTATAAGTGTGATGTATATGGCTTTGGAGTTGTTTTGTTAGAATTACTATCTGGATGTCGGGCTATTGATAGATCTATTAGTAAAAATCAAGTCCTGGTGGATTGGGCAAGACCATATTTGTCTAAGAAAAAAGTGCATCGAGTTGTGGACAGCAAATTGAAGGGCCAGTACCCTCAGGAAGGAGCAGTAATTGTTTCAAATCTTGCTTTGCAGTGCACAAGTCAGAATCCCAAAAGCAGGCCGCTTATGGAAGAGTTTTTAGCAGCATTGGAACCACTACAAGGTTCATATGAAAACAGAAAATTTAGATTCTTCTAAATTTGCTCTGTCTGCTAAATCTGAATATGATACCTTTGGAGTCTCTACAATCATTGGATTAAACTTGTTTATGGTAAAAGATCAGTAAGTCAGATTTAATTATTGGCAAAATCTTTTCCTTATCATTTTTGTCCGCTTATGTTTCAAATTTTTGTTGTATGTATGTTACTTCTAGATCTGATCACATAATTCTGGGTAGTCTATCCATTCTGGAAAAAGGGCTTAATCTCTCACTACATCAGGACATGCGTCAATTTTTTAATCCACCATCAATTCTGAGGTTATGCAACTAAACACTATTTCCCTTTTTCCTATTTCAAATTTTCTTGCATTTTGGTCTTTGTAATTAGATTCAATATTGAATGATACGACTCCTTTTGTCTAACATGGGATGAGAGCAAGTTTGGATCTTGACCTAGATTTGCAACCACTTCCTTTTTCTGCTAAGCAGACGTCTGCCGCTCATCTGGCCAATTTGTTTTGGACGTCATCTTGTTCTTTTGTAGCCTTTAGTTTTTCTTTTTGTTTCGTGTTGCCTTTGTTTTGGTGGATCTGATTTTTGGCTACGACGGTGGCAGTGACTGTGACTGTGACAATCTTCTCATTTGTTTAGGCTCCAATTTGCTAACTCTTGTGTTGCTTTCAGTTTCAGTTGATGATGATACGCCAGTTCTTTTGCACGATTTTCTTCAATTTGTGTTGTGCCTCCTTGTCCAGTTTGTGCATTACTCAATAACTTTAAGTTACAGTTACTGATACTCAGTTCATTATCAAATCTACAATATTACGTCAAATTGTTCCTCTATGTTGCTATTTCCAATTGTTAATTTAACATTCTTTAGGTCATTCTATTAATCTTTTTTGGTATGTAAAAATGGCATCTGACCTTAATGGATTTAGCTATCCTAAGCACTAAGGGTCTGCCTCGGAGTTTTGGGTTCGGGTGTAGGTTTTAAATGATTTTGAGGGTCCAGTACATGCTTGAGAGTATATTATCTAATGATTCTAAAAGTTTTGCAAAAGAATAAAATTACATATATGCTCATATATATAAAAAAGTAGGCATTTGTAACAAATGTGAAGTAAATGTGTATGTTACCCAATAGCTCAGTGGGCAGAATGAGGAGAGGGTTTGGCAAATCATACCAATAAAAAAAAGCATGTTCCCTTCAGATAAGACGTATTGTGGGCCATTACTCCCCATCCCAAGAATAATTGAAGAAAGTTATTTCTAGTTACTGACATTAGCATAATATTTTAAAAAAAAAAAAAAGAATCTACATGCTTGAGAGTATATTATCTAATGATTCTAAAAGTTTTGCAAAAGAATAAAATTACATATATGCTCATATATATAAAAAAAGTAGGCATTTGTAACAAATGTGAAGTAAATGTGTATGTTACCCAATAGTTCAGTGGGCAGAATGAGGAGAGGGTTTGGCAAATCATACCAATAAAAAAAAGCATGTTCCCTTCAGATAAGACGTATTGTGGGCCATTACTCCCCATCCCAAGAATAATTGAAGAAAGTTATTTCTAGTTACCGACATTAGCATAATATTTAAAAAAAAAAAAAAAGAATTGGAATGTATAATTAACACATAAATCGAGGGCTGTGCGGATCCTTAGATATATATGAAATAGAATAAAGATGGACAAAACTACTTACTTTCCCGAGCGAAGTGAACCACCCAAACCTCGTGGAGGTCTCTCTTTTCCAGTCAGTGAAGATTCTTACTCTCCCAAAACCTTTCTCATGGCTTGTAAATGTATATCAATATGTCCCACTACAGACACAGGAAAATGCAATTCGTTGGAATTGAGTATATTAGGGTTTGTTTGGGAGGGATTTTGAAAATTGATTTTTTGACCGTTAGAAGAAAAGTGAGGTTCATCTGTGAGAGAAGAAGTCAAAAATTACGGCTGACATGGTGAAATAACAGTCAAAAAATCAATTTTTTTGGGTAAAAAAATCCCTCCCAAACAGGCTATTGTCTTGGAAAGAAAATCACTTGGGAAGAACTCTTTAAGTCCGCTGGCTATTGTCTTTGAGTAATGCTTCATTCCAGGGCATAAAAGAAAGCTTATTATAGCATTGTTCCCCTATCGACTGATTCTAATGTTCGAAAAATGATGCTTTTGACATCAACTTTAGGAAATATATTATATACCTATGATTTTATTTATTTTTTAATACAAGTGATTTTTTTACATTTTATATTTTATAAGTAAATTTTATCTTACTAATAGTATTTTTTACTTTGTAAGCCTTTTTTAATATAAAAATGAATTTTTATCTTTGAAGTGATTTTATAGTTATAAAGTAATTTTTTTTAATTATTTTGATTTTATTTATAAACAATTTTTATATGTATAATTAAAATTGGGAATCATCCCCAATTATTATATATCTCTCCCTATTAAAATTTTAAAAAATTACTATTTTTATCCACGTCACAGTCCATATTGTCCTTATTAAATTCAATAATTTAAACATTGTACATCCACATAATTTTTAACTATCTAGTTAACACTAAATCTATCCTTATTACAATTTCAAATTTTTAAAAAAAATACTATATCGATCCTCGTTACACAACATCAACTTTCTCACAATTCAACAATTAATTATAGAGACCAATTGTCAGTGTTTTAAAAAGAGTATTGCGTGGTGATGCATGGAGGTCAAATTTCAGTCAAGGTGAGCCTACGCGAGGTCTAAAAGTAAAAAAATGTTTTCTTATTTTAATATTATTTTAAATTTTTAATCAATCTGAAAATCACTTAATAATTAAAATAACACCTCCAAACATCTAAAATAGATTTATAAGAATTTTATACATTTTTTTTCAAAGCTTTCAACAAAAAAGATAAATTTCATGAACCATAAACCCCTATAATCACTGCTATCCTCAATGCGACATAAACTTTATTATTTTATAAAAATTGTGGATGAAAATAATGACTTTCGAAGCAAATCATAAAATTCTAAACCGAAAATAATAACAGAAAAAAATTTGAAAAATAAATAAAATCCATACATTAGGTATGCGGATCTTCTTCAACATCTCAATCAACTTTTCTTATTTTCTGATGTATTATAGCTTACTCTTTCTTCTTTGACCCCCCTCGGATGCATGTCTCTTTGGGCTCAATAGAGTGCGACTTATTACATGTGTCAAACCATTATTAACTCGAATTACCTTCTTAATCGAAATGATTTGTTGGAAAATTAGGGCTCCTTCCTTTTTTGTTCATGGTTGGATACAAATTAGCATAAATGGGAAATAATAAGAATAAAGAGTAAAAGACGATAAAATTCTAAAAATATAGGGTATTTACTATTTCTCAGATAAAGTTATTTTTTGACTTTTTGCCTTTTTGCTATATATTCAGCAGATTATGATGTATATGATTACACAAACAAAAACATGATTAAAAGTAAAGAATAAAATTAATAGAGGAACAGAGCATTTTATTGACAACCAATAGAAGAGAATACAATTTCAGCAATAATGCTTCTCCTAAACTGAATAGAAGAGCAACATACCTAACCCTAAAAATAGCATAAAGATGAAAATAATATAAAAAATAATATAGAATAAAGAAAATAATAGTTTTTAAATAAAATCACGTGAAATAAAGGAAATAATATTTTCCAATAAAATTACGTGAAAATAAGGAAATAATATTTTTCCAAAAAATCCAACCTAATTTGGGTTACAAAATCTAACAGTCTTCTTCTTGATCCAAATTATGATGCAATGAATGATGCTTCAAAATTTTTTCACATGGAAAAATAAGTCCGACTGAAACGAAATAAACCGACATCTTCATTTAGAACCAAAATCCTCCATCTCAGAAGAAACGCTTTATCTTTTTCACAATATCCACAAATGATACCTGAACCCAACTCTGGGTTCTCAAAATTTCACAAGGAATTCAAAATTTATCAAATAGGATCAAAGCACACATTGTAACAAAATTTACATCGAGTGCTTTGATTGAAGGCACTTTGCTAGACTTGACACCTTCAAACTCTTGCAAAGTATGAACACCAACATCTGCAACACTGTACCTATTCTCTATAGTCCTTCATTAGCAAATGAACCCGATGGAACTGCGAACGATGGTGGCAAAGCGGATTTATCCATATTACCCAACTCTCCCGAATATTGTTCTTCAACGACTCAGTGTCAAACCCCTAAGGTACTGTACCAAACTTAAATCCATCACAGTACTGAACCTATCTAGATGTTTCCTCACTAATTTTGCGCATCGTTGCAAGATGTATAACTGAGACTTCTTCCCCCCCTCCTATACAATCTGGACACCCTTTCGGACCTTCGAGACTCTACCTCTACTAGAGAACGTGTATCCATTTGAATCCAGGGTACTCAGCGAGATGAGATTTTTTCTTAAGTTTGGAATATGTCGAACCTGACCAAGTGTTCTTACTGTTCCATCCAACAACTTCAATCTTACCCTTCTAATTACAACTACCCTATAAAATTTATTGTTTCCCATGATAACAACACCTTTCTTCGTCGTTTCATACGTTTCAAACCAGGCCCTATTGGGATTCATATGGAACGAACACCCTAAATCCAAAATCCACTCTTCATTAGGCTTGGATTCCATGTTAGATACAATTAACATCACATCTCTGCCATCAAAAAAGTCCTCAACAATGTTTTGTCTCGTCCGAATGATCTGATTGCTTCATACGATTTGTAGCTGATTACCTTTACCTTTACCTTGACCCTTCAACTTGTTGCAATCCTTTTTGATGTGTCCTTTCCTCCTGCGATAGAAGCATACTTGATTGCTGAAGTTCACCCTCAACGTACACTCCATCAATTACCATGAATAATCAGAGCTTTCTCATCTCTAGATCCAGCTCCAACAAGATGCTTCATCTTCTCCTTTAAGAATAGAGTATCATAAACGTCATCAATGGTGAGTGTGTAACAACTGTACAAAATTGTGTCCCTGAATGACAAATACGAAGTGGGCAGTGAGCACAGCATGATCAAGGTCAAGTCCATTTTATCATATTTTACCTCTAACATTTCCAGATCAGTGATGATTTCCTTGAACACAGTCAAATGGTCCTCTAAAGACCATCCTTCTGCCATGCGATGAGAATATAGCATCTACTTTATATGCAACTTGCTTATCAAACTCTTTTTCATGCATATTTACTCTAGTTTAAACCATAATACACTAGCTGTCTTCTCCTTTAATACATCCTGAAGCATGTTGTTAGAAAGATGAAGAAGTATTTGCGAAAGAGCCTTCTGATCCCTCTGTTGCTTCTCCTCTGTTGTCCAAGTTGTGGCATCTTATCAAACCCTAACAATGCATCATTCAAGTCCATCTATGCTTACATTGCTCTCATTTTTACTTGTCACAATGAAAATCTTGTAGTACGATCCAAAAGAGAAATTTTATACTTCATGACTGTCATCGATAACAAAAACCTCGAACAAAATTCGCAACCAATAACATTTGACAAAGGAATAGAGCATTTTATTGAAGAGCCATAGATTTATAGGAGTATACCAAACCCTAAAAATACCATAAAGATGAAAATAATATAAAAAATAATGTGGAATAAAGGAAATA